TAGTGAATTCATATGAATTTGGAGACTTACAGGCGAAAACCAACAAGTAGGCAGAAGAACGACCATAGACAGGACTTCAAGCGAATAGAGAGAAGACAGAGGTGATGAAGATAACCAACCATGAACAACAACAACAACAACGCACGAGTCACTATCAACGGAAGAAATTTGAAGGCGGTCACTATGTTCACGTATCCAGGAAGCATCGATTCAACTACAGGTAGGCGGAAGAGATGAGGGTGTCGAAACCAGAATCGGAAAGGTAAGGCAGACCTTCATCACTCTGAAATTGGTTTGGAAATCTTCTACAGTGAACATGAGAGACAGAATATGAGTTCCCCACACCATTGTTAAGTCGATTCTTATATATGGGTCAGAAACTTGGAGCGACACGAAAATCGTTTCCAACAGACTCCAGACTCATATCAATAAATGACTTGGCTGGTTCCTTACTGAAGATCAGATGGACAGAACGAGTTAGAAACAAGGAACTCTGGGTGACTTGGGGTTGATCGTGTGGAGAAGAAATGAGAGCCTTTAGTGAATCGTGGTACCAGCTTAAGAGGACTGCAGAAAACAGGACAAAATGGAGATGTGTTGTTGAAGCTTTATGTTGCACTCGGAACCCAAGGGAATAATAATCAGTGTATTTGTAGTGGGTGTGTACAGGCGATTTTTATTGATATTTAGAGTAAGATTGCCCCCGCTTGGTTGCACGTTTGCGAGTAGTAATCCCATGCAGATATTCTTCCAATCCATATTATGCTTTCCATTCCTCATATGAGCAGCTATTGATCAAATTTGATATGACACGAATGATGTCCTCAAGTGTCTTCAATCTCTCAAACCTACTCAGTCCCTTGGTCCTGATGGAGTTCCTGCTGTTATCCTTAAGAAGTGTACTGACATCTTATGTTACCCATTAACCGACATTTTCATTGAATCTTTTTCCAAAAGTATTATTCCTGACTCATGGAAAAATATCAAGGTTGTTCCAGTGCCTAAATCAACAAGTGGACCTACTGTTAAGTTTCGACCGATTGCTATTACCTCTCCTTTTTTAAAAGTTATGGAAAGACTTATTTTACTTAATCTTGAACCCTCTTTAAAGCCTTTCAATGACCCCAACCAGTTTGCTTATAAACATAGTAGGTGTACCTTAGATGCCGCTGTTGTTCTATATCATAATATAGTCTCTAGTTTAGATAGAGGAGCTAAGTATGTTCGGTGTGCCTTCCTTGATTACACATCTGCAGTTAACTCTGTACCTGGGTCTCTCTTGCTAAGTAAGCTTGCTGCAACACAGGCTGAGAGCTGGACAAATAAGTGGTTGCATTCCTATTTTTCTGATAGGAAGCAGTACACCGTCTACAATGGAAAGTCCTCCACTACCTCACTTACTTTAGCTGGTGTTCCTCAAGGTGCTGTTCTTTCTCCTTTTCTGTTTTCTTTTTTCTTACATGACTTGCCCCATTCTGATGTAGCCTTTTTTGTCAAGTATGCTGATGACCTCTCTGTCTCCATGCCTGTCAACTCTCAGTCAGACTGTTCCAAATTAAATAACTTTCTGTCGGAAATTAGTCAGTGGTCCTCTTCAAACGGTCTTAAGCTGAATCCGTCTAAATGTCAGGTAGTAAATTTCACTTTCAGACGAAAACGTGACCTACAACAACTAGCTAGCTCACATGGTCCCACTATCATTGACGGCATAGAGGTTGAAATTACATCTAATGTCAAGTACCTTGGACTGAGTATTTCCTCCGATCTTTCCTGGTCCTCTCACATCTTGCTAGTTACTAGAAAGATGTTTCGCTTAACGTTCTACGTTAGGAAGTTAAGGCAGTCTGGTATAAAGCAGTCTTTGCTTTCTCAGTTTGTCAACTCTTGTATTCTAACCATTCCTCTTTACTGCTCCCCATTAATCTTTCCTGGACTACTTAAGAAAGATTTTGCTTTGCTGCGTAGGGCACTAAAAGCTGTTAGTAGGGCAAGTGGGATTTCGTTAAACCAACTGGTTAACACCATTGTGGATAGACATATAATGTCATGTAAGAAACTAGCGAATACTATATTGTCAGACCCCGAGCATCCTCTCTATACGCAGCTCTCTCCTTGCATTTCATCTGGTAGAACTAGAAGCAACTATAGGAGGCTATATGCTAGGACTACCAAGTACAAAACTCCACAATACCTTATCTGGCACAGCTGTTATGTGATGAGAAATCCGTTAGGTATTACACGATCAACTTACTGCGGCACTCTAACAAGTAGTTCCCACTAGCTTTTGTTCTCCTTTCTTTGTTACTATTATATTGTCGCTCACATATTCTATTACACACTAATTTTATATTTCATATCCTGTGGTGCATTGTTTAAAATGTGAATGCAATGCTGTTCTTTTTTATTTCTTTTCTTATTTTTCTTTTTGTTGTTGTTGCTCTTTATTTTCAAAATCTTATAAAATTTATGAGGTAATTAGATGCAATATTGTAATGCACGCTGAAAATTCCATACCTGTACCACAAATACTGTTTGGAATAAAGCTGTTATTATTATTATTATTGTTACCATTAGTATTCCTGTACTTCGTGTGCGCACTGATCTTTACTTCATCGTCTATGTTCTTTCACAATGATTGAGAATGACGTGTACGTTTTAACTGCAATAAGCAGCCCGATTACTAGTGAAACTTCAAAGCACAGAAATACAGGGCTGTATATGATTCGAAATCCTGCCTTTTCCTTGCAATCGCCTCACAAGTATCTCCCTTTTATGGATGCATTGCAGCGCTTCTATAATTATCCTTTCATCTTCAATTCCTGTTGAACATTTGATTTCTTAATACCGAATTCTCCTTAATATTATCCTTTATGAATTGTTAGGGATAGTGGCTTTCCCATCCCCGAAAAGTTTGAATAAAGTGTTCGTTTCTTTTCTCTCGTCATCCGACAAGTTTATCAGACTAGGAGGGGCAGAAACCCCTGACAATCTCACACATCCGTGAGCTAAATAACATCAGAGCAGATCTTATTCCTGATATCTACTAAATACAGTTTACTTGTGTGGTTTATTATTTCGAAAATAATAAACATGGCTCCTTTATTTCACTCAAACCACTGACTATCATCAATTAATTATTTGGCTGGACACACACTTGGCCTAGAATAAGATTGGAGAACTGTGTCATGCGAAATCGCACCTTTCCAGAGGATTGAGACACCGCTGCAGATATTCAACTTGAAGTCCAATTTTCAAGGCTGAAAACCAACTTCTGGTGCTGTACTGAACCCTCATAACTGCCACTGACCAGACCATGTTCATGTACTCTTCATTTCTTTCGGACCCTACGTACACCAATGGAATGGTTTATCCTTAAGGCCTTCCAAGTGTCTTAGTCGAACCCCGTCACCATCTATGTAACTATGAGTGCTAAACGTGACCATTAATAGCCACGTAACGTATGATTTCTGGTGATTGTGAGAACATTTGTGTATTGATTGTTCCGCATCTCGTTTTCGTTCAAATGCAAGTGCACAGTTCAGCTAGTGGGTTCATTTTAGAAATTGTTGGCGTTGAACGACTCAAGACATTTGCGTGTCACTCCTCATGAATGTAACATGCATCTTCACATTTCCTAAACTCATAATTATTTATATATACGAACTGTTAAAGTCTCTGAAACCACTTGGATTATTAAACCAGACAGTTTTGTTTTTGAAGACTCTCCTCAATATTTTCACTAATTGTTTTTGATATTGACTTATTTTTCGAGATAGACAGTTGTCCTCGAACCAACGACGCCTATTGATCTGAGACGATTATCAATCTGTAAGAGAAATTGCTCAAATAATAATTACTAGTAGACAGTATAAGTGATACTTTTTTTCTTTAGCTCAGTTTCTGGTTTCTCCGAAGGACTGTTGGAAGCATTACTGAGACAAAACGGACAATTGGATCGTGGGTTAATCCACTACAACGTCTTCCAAACATGATTATAAGAGACGACGTCGTCAGTGAAGTTAATCGTGCATATTCAAACTGGTCACTCACACTTGATAGTCTAAAAGAACCTAAGGAAGTAGACCGATCAACAATATCCTGCAATACAACCATATCTTCTCTTGGAACTACATTCTTGCATACACATAGTGCCTCAAGTTCATCGAATGGGGCATTCTTTGATCACAGTCTTCTTGGTCTTTTTCACTTCGAGGTAAGTAGTGCCCCTTATGTATATTTCTGATTGTTACTTCAACATACAGATTTGATTGGCATATCTATAGAGCAGTCTGTCTGTGTAAAGAATGAAGTGACAGCATGTCTAGTGTATGGAAAGACACTCGCTCATGACATTGGCTAGTGGTCGCGCTATGTCGTGAATTAGTAGAAGTTGGAATTGATGGGCGAGTGGATCGTGTCATAGCGAACTATTGGTCTACGAACTCACCTCGCAACCACAAGACCCTAGGTTCGAACCCCAGCGAGTGTGTGCCGCCGAAAAGTCCCAAACTACACCGAGACAGTTAACCAGCTTTTCCAATGGTCCTGTGACCAATGTCAGCTCATGATGAAATCCTGTAGCCAATCATATCAATTCCCTGCAAACCAACACTTAAACGCGATATTAATTGAGAGCATGCCGTACTGCTCACATTAAACTCACAGTAACTGACACTGGACCACCGTTGCAGCCGTTTTTCACAGCCATCTTTTTCAGGTAAAGACGTCGTTCTATTTGACAAAAACACTAGTGGATACTTTATTTCCAGGATGACTAGTCTTAAGAATTCGTGTAATCTGAGGTAAATTTATCCCAATCTAAGAACTAATTTAACCTAATGTGTCTCATGAATCTGATAGTTCTAATTTATTGTATGCTTTTGCAGGATGACCAAAAGTACGGGATCTATACACCCTTATTTGTTCCAATCGGCTTCGCTTTATTTCTATCCACACTACGAGCGTTCAAAATTAAATCCCGTGACAACAAAACATAGAATGTGTATTTACTTCTTTATTTTGTACCTGTTATTTAAAAGCAATAAAAAGTTTATATACAATCTGGGCTTTTCTTCAGACTTTTAACCAAATTCATGACCCTTATACAATCTGAAATAATCGACAGAATAAGCAGCAGCTAGTGAGTAACAAGACAGTTCAACTCGCTCCCGTAGTATTCAATTATGAGCAGATTAGGGATTTTAGATCAACATCAAATTCGTCGTATTCCTTTTTGAAAAGAACACTTTTCGTTTTCTTTCCTATAGCCCGACTTTCTGTAGCTCCAAAAACTTGCTGTCTTGTCTGGTTTATTAGTCTTCCAAGTTTTGTTAGCTCGGCATCTGCCCTGCAAATATCACTGCGATGTAAGTTTTTGCATTTATCAGGTTCACGTTGAGTATCTAGTAACAAGAAAATGGGAATAAAACAAAAGAACTAGGTTAGACAATACGCATACATGTGAGTACTTACTTAAGTGCATGCTTTCAGAAGAAAGTGTGATTCCTATTGTTACAGTCAGATTCCAAATTAAGGTACTTTAAAAGTAGTTTCCGTTCATGAGTTCGCTTAGTGTATATCGTCCTACAGTAAACGCCGAGCTAATCTGACTAATGCGTCCAGCAGATCGTCCGAATGTGAAACCTGTTACCGTTGAAAGTTAGTTAAATTATTTCACCATCTATCAGTCATTCACTCTTTCGACTTAAGGTTTTCAGGTATACAACTATCAATTCTTAGCAATCATTATCAGAATAATCGCAGTGTTTTTAGGCATGTGACACTCTTTTACAGTTAGTATATTCACCTTTCATGCTTAATACCACAATGATAAAATTGAAGAATAGAACTTGACAGGCAGTTTCTGGCTTAAAGCATAATTGCTTTTTGGTGAGTTAATAGGTCAAATAAATTGTGTTGAAGTGCAAGTGGAAGTTGCAATTAAATCAACCCTGTTTGATATTCTTCTCAAATCGGAGAGCCTGACATTCCAGAGATTCTCGTTGACAGCACAGGTCACGATGTAGTTCACAAAAACGGCACTGCATCACTCCCGAACTCTTTTCGTTGTTTACATTCTTCCCTCAGGCATCTCATACAACAATATACACATATATGTCCAATAAAACCTCAATACAATTCGCCACAGTACGATCGATTAATACACATCTACAATTCCTATCACCATCATCAAATATACAATTACTTCCCGAGTTTCTAGTGTCAAATAATTACAGCTATTCTTAGCCTGTTAAACTAATTCCGTATCAATAGGGTTTAAGTTGTAATCCTACCGATGGCTGAATAGAAGTCAAATTTAAGTACACTGCCTAATACCTCCTTTGATGATGCAACGCTGATGACTGACTAACATTATGAACTCAGTGATGGCTATATCATGTGATTTCATTCACATAATACATCTTATCGGTCAACAACATCGCATCGTGATGTGCTGTCTAATGTTTTACTAATGACGCCAAACTACACATGTACAAAGATTATTGGGATAGCTTTCAAGAGAAAGCACCTCAGAAAAAAAAATTCCCAGTTCAAACTACAATCGCGTATGGCCTTAACTATGCATACACACCCAAAAAGTCTTGGGTTACTGAAAAAACCCAGAGAAAAAATAACAATATGTAACTACGAATAAGGGGACCAGGAGATTTTGTCCTCCCAAGTTCCATCATTTAGTCACAACATCCTGGATGATATCGGGGAGCAGTGAGTATACTTCCATATTTACTGGATACTGTTTCATTGTGTGATATATCTAATAAACAAACTAATATGGAATTACTTACTACCACAGTGCCCAAGTTTTACACATATATTAACAGTCAGTATACTGTTAATAAGAAAGTTCCAGTGAGCTACCTACATACATATTTAACTATACCGTTTAACACACTCTTAGTTATGGCAACCGAGACTGGAAAGTTCTACACGGTTAATTTTCACTTCAGTGGATGAATAACCGTAAACTACAAATCTACCTCATTGGTGTATGCATTTCGTTTTGAAGTATGACGCCCAAAACATATTGTGAAAACAAGAGTTGAACTAAATCCAAATAATTAGCGCTAACATTTCGGTAAATATATAACACGTAAAAACGTTTTGCAGAAGTGCATCCATTTAAGTCACTACGCCTGAAGAAGAATAATTAATAGAGACAAATACGCAATGACACTAAAGCACATCAACATACGCGAAATTTCTAGGATCCAGGAGAAAACAACACGTGACTACATATGCACTACCATGCAAAATTTTAAACCGTCAACAGACTTCCAGTGCTCTACACTAGGCAACCTGCACTTGACCACGTGGCTCAAACTCAACCAACTACTTCGCACAACGCCGCTGATACGCTTTCGCTTCATCATTTCTGACGATTAGGCTTCCAAATGTATTCCATTGAGGAAAAAACCACGAGACAGTGTTGTCAGTTGTATTGGTCTTATCCGGACATTACTTTCCAAGCTGAAATCACAACTAGCTTAAATACTGATAATGCTGCCCAAATGGATGCAGAGAAGACCGAAGTAGGCTTCTTATTGAATAAAAATCACACCTAAGGAGCTATACTTCTTTACATCTTTTGTTACTGATCATGGGAAAAACAACTGACTGGCTATTCGCAGTAGTCCCAAAGAAAATGTGGTCTAGAATACCCTACTTTGAACTAGCTACTTCACGTAGCAACTCATGTTATGTAACTTAACTGACTAACCGAAACTCTACACGGAAGTTTCATAGGCCCAAGGGTTTTGCAACATCCTGAGTTCAGGAGTGCAAACTACTATACTACGGTAAACGTATACAATGCAATTTACAATGTACCTCGGGGAAGATTCAGTTACTCATACAAAGAATCAGCAAGAACAGGAAATAAGGTATCAAGAATACAAAATCAATAATTATGGATTCAGAAGATTGAAAAATACCTATTTTGTTTGAAAACGTCTTCCAGCTAACTTTCTTGGCGACACGTTTGCGGTAAAGTTCATTACGAAGACGCTTCAGCTGACCTTTACTTTGATTTTTCTTACTGGACTTTTTCTTAGACTGAAATTAGTTTCCAAATATATAAAATCCACAAAGAAAATTACCTCAGTTTTCTGAAACCCAGTATTAGATGGACCAAATATCGTCCGACTCAATCCCTTTTTCAAAAGTGATTTCATTAGGAGGGTCAAGTAAAACTCTATCGATGCGCGAACTTTGAAAAGGGAGTGAATTCCACACGCTCTTGTTTAATTTCGGCTTTTGTTTTGTTATACGCTCCAAAAGTCTACAGATTATTTTAAAATCAGTTTATTCTGATTGAAGTTAGTTTGCTGTTTAGTTTCGAATCCATTTACCCACAGGAAGTGTGTTCTTATAACTGTATAGTTATTATATATCCTTTTTTTACACTCATTGATTTTCTCATCATTGATATATATAAAGGTCATAATTGACTCTTCCAGCTCCAATTCACTCAGAAAAGAATGCCTATCAAAAGGAACCGCTGCGGAAGAGTTATGTGTCATTTCCCAGTTGGAGAAGTAATGCAGTGCGATAGCTGCTAGAGATGGTTTCACAGCATTTGCACAAACCTAACTCCTGCAGCATACAAGCGCTGCTGACAACCTCTGGTGAAGTGGCTGTGCAACGACTACTGCAGTACGACTACATTTCGTACTAAGAAAGCCATCTCCACTCCCAGTAAGGCTCTAAAGTTCCCAGACTGCAAAGGTCCTCCACCATAAAAGAAGAGTTACTACCGCTCAGACACCGATGACGTGGCTAGCGTCATGGACAAGACAACACGCGTTCCTCATGTGTCTCTGTCACAGAGTGAGTGCCCTTCAGCACAGAAGAGCACGCACCAAATTCCGGACACCCGTGCCCTCCCTACGACACACTTCAGTGACAGTGACGGAAAGACTGGCACGGGGAAAAGGCGTACCAGGGGTCGAAAACCCGCAGCTGAAGTCCCTCAAGGACTTGTAGATCAAGACTCATCCATACCGGTGGATAGCAGGCAGACACATTCCACCACAGATACGGAGAAGGGTGCCAGTCAGTGGTGTGATGTAGTTTCGCGTATAAAGCTAGATAAGGACATCATTAAGGCCACACTGTGCACAAAGGACGGAGACACTTACTTCGCAGAGTAAGAAAGCCACTGCAAGCAAATCTGGTCCCTCCGATAGTTCGCCCATACTCCACACAATGGAAGAATCTCCGGTTTCCTATCCCAAAGTCAGGTTCGAGCATGACCACAACTTGGTCCAGCCCCTCCTAAGTTAGCTACTGCGAACAACAGTATCAGGTGTTACCATACACAGCCTGTATAGAATCTGCCAAAAGCCTGACTCTACAGTAAATCAGCCATTACGCCTTCTCAAAGTCGCACTAGACTCTAAAGAAGAGAGGGATGCTGTTCTAAGCAACGCCCAAAGGATCAGGCGTATACGTCCGTGCCGAATAATGCCTTTCCGACCGCGTCTAAAGACAGCCTGCGGCTCTAGAATTAGCGAACGGCACCGAAACGGCGAGACAAACCTTAAGGTTAAGGGTTTTTGGGTTGTCAAAGTTCGAATTTTGATGGTCGCGAAACCTCTGTGAGTCGGCCGCGGAAGCACCATACTGAGTTAACAGTTTGCCACACAAATGTACGCAGCCCGTCAAACAAACGGACTGAGCTGGGTAATATGATAGACTCCGGGAATCCGGACGTAATTATCATCACAGAGACATGGCTCACACCTAATGTCACTGTTAACGAAGTTAACCTGCCAAACTTCGAAGTGTATAGGGTGAACAGACTAAGCCGCAAGGGAGGTAACTTGGTCATCTACCTCAAGAAGTGCGCTCGCTCACGAAAGTGAATCGTGCGAACTTCTACGCTGCAGGTATAAGTGTATAGGACAGGATATTGGCCTCATTGCTATATAGAACAGTCCTGACTGCAGTGCAGACGACTTCTTAATAGGGAAGCTAGGCTCCTGGATATGTCGAAGTCTTGTAATCGGTGACCTCACCACCCCAACAGTTGACTGGACAAGCCTTACAACCTCAGCTTCAGGCAACTCCTTTGATCATAAACTGCTAGAATCTAGCATTTCCCTAGCCCTAGTCCAACATGTCATGAAGCCTACGTGCTATGACTCCTCTTGAACCCTGGGTCTAGTGTTCTCCCATGATGAGGATGTGAATCTCATACAACATTTTCCTCCTTTAGGAAGAAGTGATCCGTTGTGCTCGCTTTCAGTTTCACAGTGGCAGTATCATGGGCCAAAATCCCAACTCGACCAAACGTTTGGAAAGCTGACATAAATGCGACTGTCTCAGCAGCCAACTCGCTATGCTGGTTTACAAATCCATGAAGCAGTTAAACAACTTTTGCCAAGTACAACCTTTCATCCCTTAGTCTGTCCAAAGGGTAGGAAATATTGCTCTCTCCCTGGATAAACTGAGAGATCCGTGAATTACACAGACGTAAAGACAAGTGCTGTAACCTTCCTACCACACTTGAGACTCCTGAGACCAAAAGATTGTGCGATACCACTAGGAATAAAGCTATTGCAGAATTCCGCCAATCATGGATAAAGTTCGAAGCACACCTGGCTGAAAATGCACTGTCACAACCTTAGAAACTTTTCTCGTATATGAACTTCAGGAATATGATATCCGATGGTGTCCCAAACCTGACTATTGACAATGGCACAATCGAAGAAGACCAAGAAAAAGCAGAAGCAGTAGCAGACTACTTCTCCCAAGTCTTTACATAGGAGTCGTCACTCTCCACAGGATCAGCTCTGGCTGCATCAGATGAACACGGGATACACTCCTCAGTGAACTGGGGCATAGACTCGAGTTTTCCGCACCAGGTTGTCATACATAGGTTAACAGATGGCTCGCCCAAACGTTTGAAAGCGAATATACCTGCAATCCGAAATGTAGCAACCCTAGCTGACTGGTCTGTTAATACACACCAGACTGCCGAGGAGGCTTGGATGGGATTTAGGAACACACTAGAGCGCGTCACTGCACCCTTTGTACCTTGGTCTATGCCTCGAAAACTATCCCATAAACCACCTTGGATTAGCAATGAAATAAGGAGGTTACTAAGAAAACGAAAGAACTTATGGGACCGGTTTACTGTGACTGGGAGGGATGAGTTTCGGATAGAATACCGCAAAGTTCGAAACCTTTGTAAGTATGAGATTGACAAAAGTCGTATAGAGTATGAGAGACAGTTAGTACTGGATTGTGTGCATTATCCAAAAAGACTGTACTCGTATATCAAATGCAGGACTAAAAATACCAGTGGTATACCGTCCCTCATTAGTAACACAGGAGAGGCTGCCGAGTCAGACGAAACAAAAGCTGAGAAGCTCTTCGAATACTTTTGTGATGTTTTCTCGCCTAGTCGTACCACTCAGGGATGTGGCGAGGCCACTGATGTAGCCCCTAAAATGCCCTCAATTGTGGTAGGTGATGCAGTGGTTCTGAAACTACTATCTAAGTTGAAGCCAGGTAAATCACCTGGACCAGAGGGACTTCACCCTAGATTGTAATCTCCTTGGCGGATGTAATATACATTCCACTTACGGAGATTTTCCAGATGTCTCTGACCCAGGCTAGGCTACCCAGGGACTGTAAAGGTGCTTTTATAAGCCCAATCTTCAAAGATGGGAGCAGGCAGTTAGTATCTAACTACCGGCCTGTAAGTCTGACCTGCATTATCACAAAGGTATTGGAAAAACTTATAAGGGACCAGCTCCTAGCTCATACGGAAAAACATGGCTTGCTGGCAGTGGAACAGCATGGATTCCGACCAGGACGATCCTGCTTGACAAACCTACTGTTAGCTAGGGAAGATTGGGTCGAGGCCAGGGATAAAAACCATCTACTGGACTTGTATTTATCGATCCTAGTAAAGCATTCGGTAAGGTATCCCATTTAGGTCTTCTTAGTAAACTTAAACATTATGGATTAGACCAAAGCTTATGTGAGTGGTTTAGTGACTACCTGATGGATAGGAGGCAGAAGGTAAGGGATAAAATCATTTCTCAGTGACGGAAATCAGACAACAAAAATTGGCTCGATGACCTCCAGGCCTAGGTCGATTAGCAGTGGTGTCATCCCGGGGGAGTGTATTGGGCCCCCTTCTTTTCATTATATACATAAACATTGTATGTGAGTGCTTTAGTATAGGCAAGCCAATACTGTATGCAGATGACTTAAAGGTGACATATACCTGCACAAATACAGATATCGGTATAACTGTGAACTCCATACATGAAGAATTAACAAAAATGGATATATGGTGTGACACCTGGAGACTTGAGTTTAATTTCGAAAAGCGTGGCTGGCTCTGCATAGGTTGTCCCAACCTAGAGCTCGACCTAGCAATTCAGGGCCACAAAATCCCCAGACTCAAATCTGTGCTAGACCTAGGACTGAAATATTCACACAATCTATCATTTTCTGAACATATCTCGAAACAAGTATCGAAATCATGCAGGCTTATTGGTTTCCTACTCAGGAACTTCAACAGAAGTGAATCCAGAATACTACTGTACAAGGTTTGTGTGCGCCCACTCCTAGACTATTGTGCATTCATATTTAGTAGTATATGCATAGAAGACAAACTAAAAGTAGAAGGAGTACAGAGATACTTCACGCTAAAAGTACTCGGAACCGAAAACGGCACAAACTACTCTACCATATGTGAAATTCTAGGACAAGAAACATTATGGTTAAGACGACTGCGACTAAATCTGGTACTCTTCTATAAGCTTCTTAACCACATAGTGTACCCCTACTAATTGTACTCGGTTTTCATAAGACACTGGATATAATCTTAGACACACTAAAGGTACGGTGGCTATAGAACAATGTAAAACAGCCACCAGGCAAAAGTTTTTCATGATTAGGTATGCCCAAATATGGAACAAACTACCTGAGGAAATACGACTAGCAAGCTCACTGGTGTCCTCTGAAAAGGCACTTAATGACACACTAAGTGGGTTTGCAAGTGATACCAGTGCTAATTCCCATGTAAGAGCTTCAGAAATTATAGGCCCATTTACTGTATGAACTTAGAGACTACACCTGTTGTTTCTTTTGCCTTTATCTATAATTTCAGACAAAAAAGCAGCAGTCATGAAAATAACACCCATACAAATAAGAGTCGATCGAATTATGTCTACCTGATACAAAGCGTGAACCATAACCAACATACGAATGAAATATGAGAAAACAAGGTCGAGACTTACCACAACATCACATGGAAGGATATAAGTTACTCGGACATCATTTATAATCCACCAACTGGTCTCCTTTCCGAAAAGAATGCGGCGATATTTTATCCACAGTGGTGGGGAAATACACAAATCCACAGTTCCCGTTGTATACACTCAGTGGAGGTAGCAGCCAACAAAGTAATGCATTTAAAGCTTATGCATACTTCCCATCATCACGGCAACACTGCGGAGTATGTCAAAATCGTAGAGTAATCAAACCCAACATGCGATGTAATTAACTAAATCCGAACGGAAAACAAGTTGTAGAACATATTTGAATATTCATCCATATGACGATCATGATGACAAATCCAAATCACTACCTATACAGCGCAAATAAACCTGGAAATAACGAAAATATGCTGACAGTTGCATTTCAGATCCCACTGACTCATCCGATGGTAAAATTCTGCTCCTGCATGCCTCTTTTGACATTTCTGTATGGATTGGTTCGCAGTTACTCTGGTCCCAGACCGAAAAGAATCGAAAATTCACTGGTTGCTGAATTATTACTACTTCTCTGCATGTTTAACTGGATAATAACTGCTGTGGTGAGCCTCTTGCAGATTATATTGCTTGAAACATCGTTTACGGTAAACTAACTAGTGTTTTTTAAGCCATTTTTATACTTTTGTGAGTAGCCCACAATACTGAAAATAGATATAGGCAGATACTGATTGACTGTTGGCTAGTTGGCTTCCTATTGGTCTAAAATAAGTTAAAGCGGCAATCTTTTTATTTTGACACGGAAATTTACAGTCGGTATAATTTAAGGCTTACCTTACCATAATGTAATGGCGAGTTCATTTTTTTGGTGTGAGTTTAGTGTGATAAACACACGCTATTTGGATGCATTGGTGGTATTTAAAGTACATTGAGATGTATGAGAATGTCTAGTAAGTGAATATAAATTAACAATATTTTTGATGCATTTATTTTAAATCCAAAATAGGATGTGTGCATTTTTGCTTACTAGGCGAATATAATTCAACTACAATTTCTAAACATATAATGTGTCTTTAATTAGGACATATAGATATAAGTATGTATTAACTGATCCACTTTTTGAAGTTGTCAGTTTAGTGACCTGTGGGATTTGTGCATATTAGGTCAGCATAAATCAATTAAATTGACTAGGTTACAACAGTGGTTTATGAGCACTGAAATATATACTATTATTCATTTACTTGAAATTATGTTGTGTTCGTTAGTCATTGTTAAAACCATTACATGACGTTA